TATTGAGTTAAAAATACCAGATACCTCACGTAGTCTCAAGAAACATTAATACATCTTGACCATGAAAAGAAGAGAAACTAAATAGATAAAACAGCTTATCAAGACATTCCAATCAAAACTACTAAAGCAAGGCCTTCTACTCAACAAATCTGAAGGAAAAAAAGAATTAAAAATTACAAACGTCTGTCCTATATTAGTACAACCTGATACCTCTCCTTTATCATATTTTTATTGGATACCAAACTATGTAATGAGTACCTAAAAAAACCTATTAACAAAATTTTGATATTGAGAACAAAATCTAATAGTAAATCCCAAATTGGGATTTAGAAATCATCAAATTCAGAGATTATCAACTTGCATAACATAAATATTCCACCATTTGGATGAACTAATCCAAACAACTGGATCAACTTGGGCGAGATTTGTATTTTGAATACATCCTAGTGTCCAAAACAACACTCTTTGAAAATACAAAGTCTCATTTGCTTACACTCGAACGCCGGTTATCATGTCCACTAACACAAGCCCGAAAAGGCTCATCCTTGGGACAAAATTTAGCTCCAACTTCGTAAAATTAATCTAATTGGCACAAATTCACTAATAAAATCCATCAAATTATCTAAAATTACTGGTAGAAAAATCCGTAAACCGAAGGACCTTCAATAAGCTCCAATTCTCTACTTGGTTAATAGGAAATGCAATAATCCATCACAGAACAAAAATCACCATCTCAATTCCAAATCTTCGTTTATGCAAACTGAAAGCAACGCTTTTCCATTAATTCTTATTTTAAAAACAATTAAAAAAGAAGCAGCCCTTTCATCTATTTTCCACACCCTGTCCCCAATTTTCCCAGCAACCAAACAGAAACCAAAGAAACAATACTAATAACACAAAATTGAACTCCTTACAGCTGAAGAGCTTCGAGAAACTTGTCGTGCTCCTGCTCCGTCCAGCTCTCTCTCGACTTGGTAATCGTATACGGTTTCCGGATTTTCTTGCTCTGATCATCCGCCGACATCGACGCGGCGTTTGCAGGCGCGGACGAAGACGTGCAGGCAGCAGTCGTACTGGTCGCCGCCGTAGCTGAAGCAGCACCAGTTGTCGGCGGCGGCATAGGATTGAGACCCGGAAGGCCCATATTGGTATTCATGGGATCAAATAAGTAGAAACCTTGAGCTGGGTTTGGATTCAGAGACAGCATAAGCTATAAGCTAAAAGCTAAAAGCTAAAAGCTGAAAGCTCAAATTATCAAATACAAGTACTGAAAGCTATCAAGTTTGTAAAAAAACCACAGAAAATTGAAAATTTTCTTTGAATTTTCTGGTGATTTTTGTTGGTTTGCTTTGCTTTGCTTTGCCCTTTGATTTGGGTTTTTAGCTTTTGGTAGGAAATGAGGTGGGGCCTAGAAATGTAGCCGCCTTTGGGCCATTTTGCTCCTATATTTATACCTCTATTTATACACTTATTAATCTCTCAGCAAACGCTTTACGTATGAACTTAATATTTTTGTAGGAGTGTTGGGAACAGCCTCTCCATAAATGGGGTTAAGGCTAGTCGACATTCACCTCTCCCAGACCCTGCGTAAAGCGGGAGCCCTTGTGCACTGGGTACGACCCTTAGGAGTGTGTTACTCCTCTCACACTTTTTATTAATTTTTGTCATTTGATTTTTTTCAATTCATCAGATCCGACGATTGAAAATTAATAAGGTGCGAGAAGTAAAAAGGGATGTGTGAATATCACATCCCTTTTTGTAAGATACACCTCGAGATTTTTTATCTCAATAACTTACTAAAAACTAAAAGATTAAGCAAATATGGATTTAGCAAAGTTGAAGTGAACACCGCGCTTTAAAACCTTCGCTCGTATTTTTTTTATAAATAAAAGTGTAATTATTCTATGTTTGTAAATGTAAATATTAAAAAATAAATAGTATTTATCAATTAACGTTCTTAAGTTTGTTTTAAATATAAAGTAAAATATTTTTTTTATTAATATAAGTGTTATAATAAAATTATTTTTTAAATGATATTAATTTTCTTATTAATTTTTTTGCGCACTTTTCATTCTTTTAGTAATTTTGAGTAATTAACATAAAAAAATATAAAACCAAAGTACTAAAATCACTACCTTCAAATTTGGAAAAAAAAAACACAACTCCATTGAAATAATGAGTTATGATAACAATTGGTCCTCTATCACAATTATTGAGAAAAGTAGTTCCTTACACTACGGCATGAATTAAAACTCGATCGAGTCTTTAATTTAATATTTAATTTAACAAATTTATTGTTTGATAAAAAATAATAGGAAAGAGATCCTCTCCTAATTTCTCCTACCAAAGCCACCTAACCAAGTGATTTGGACATTTGAAATTTGATCCAACGGCTAAAAATAGGGGTTCCCTTTAAAAATTATAATAATTTTAATCAGTAAATCAAATTTTAAGGATCCGGATTACTTAATTAAGTGACTTTGGTGGGAGAGATTAGAAGATGATCTCTGTCCAAAATAATGAGTTATGATATATATGAATATGAATAGGCCTAATCGGATAAATGGTTCCCGTAGTCATAAGGTATTCGGATGATAGCCATTGTGGTAAAAAAAATTCGGATTTAAATCCCTGTGGTCACAGTCTGTTAGGATTTAAACCCATGTGGTCTAAGTCTGTTAGGATTTATGCCCTTATGTCATTTCTCCATTAGGTTTAGGTTAGCCAAATCGGATAAATAGTCCCCGTGGTCATAAGGAATTCGGAAGATAACCCTGTGGTAGAAAAAAATCGGATTTAAACCTTTGTGGTCTAAGTCTATTAGGATTTATGCCTGAAATTAGAGGTTATGTCATTCTTTCGTTAAGCTTACAGGTGGCGCAGAGTTTCTCTGAGTATCTATCAATAAAAAATATCTTACAATAAAAATGGAGGGGGGAGAGAAGATTTCAATTTATGGTAAAAAAATTCATTCATTTTAGTTATTTCACAAGAAGAAAAAGACGAAAAATAGAGGATCTATTGAATTTCAAATAGTTAGTTTCACCAATAGGATACGAAAGACTTACTTCACATTTACAATTACACAAAAAAAACTATTTATCTCAGAGAGGTTTACGTAAAATTCTGGGAAAACGCCAACGATTACTATCTTATTTGTCAAAGAAAAATAGAATATGTATAAAGAATTAATTAATCGGTTGGACATTCGGGAGTCAAAAACTCGTTAATTTTTATAAAGGCATTTTGAATTATTTGATTTATTAGATCTTGAATTTTAATGAATTATGTGATTTATTAGTTCCACCTGTAAGCTTAGCGGAGAAATGACAAAACCTCTAGTTTCGAGCATAAATCCTAACAAACTTAGACCACAGGGGTTTAAATCCGAATTTTTTTTTTACCACATAGACTATCTTCCGAATACCTTATGACCACGGGGACCATTTATCCGATTTTGCCAACCTAAACCTAATGGAGGAATGACAGAAGGGCATAAATCCTAACAGACTTAGACCACATGAGTTTAAATCCTAACAGACTATGACCACTGGGTTTAAATCCGAATTTTTTTACCACAAGGACTATCATTCGAATACCTTATGACCACGGGGACCATTTATCCGATTAGGCCATATGAATATTGTATTTGTTGATGTAAGGGACATTAAAAATTGGGGTGTGATATCCACACACCGTATTTTACTTCTCACACACATTTTTAATTTTCGGGCGTCAGATCGGATGAATTGAAGAAGATTAACGGATAAAAATTATCAAGGGGTGTGTGAAAAGTAAAATGGGGTGTGTGGATAGCACACCCCCACACACCCTTAAAAATATTACCTACTTGGCTACTTGGGTATGACCGCACACGTGGCGACACAAGGATATGGTATCAAACTATGTGCTGGGCTTGCGGGGAGCGGCACTGGCACGTGGCAAGTGCCAATGCTGTCGCTTTGAAAAATTCCCCAGGTTTTTGAGCTACACGGGACGATGTAATTGGTCATAGTTTAGGGGGCATGGCCAAATCCCCCTTCTTTGTTTTTCGTATTTTTCTTTGGGGAGTGACGTGAGCAACATCACACTTTTTGTAGAGTCGAATTTCCATGTCACGAATGCAGTGTCATGTTAACAAAGAATTTTAAAAGAAAATTTACACATAACGCTACAGGATCTCTTCTCCTTCCTAAATACGAATCGGATCCCTTACTGACCTTGAAAAAGTGAGCAGACGATTGTGATCGTTGAAATTTAATTCAACGGTTACAATTATTATAACTTTTAGATGACTTTTTATTTGTAGCTGTTGGATCAAATTTTAACGACCACGATCATCTGCTTAGTAGACTCAGTTTTTAATGATCAAGAGGGGATCCGGATCCTAAAATTACCAAACGGCTAGGGCTGAGATGATGACATGTGTGCCCCTCAAATATAATATATAATATTCTCCAAAAGAAAAAGAAAAAGATATGGAGGGGAAGCTCTAGAGTTTCTTTCTAGCACTGTCTTGACAGAAATGTTAATCAAGACGTTGCCACTCCTTTTGGCAAACTAAAGTCCAAGAATCCGTACTAAACCAGCAAACCCGATTAGTTTAATGACTTAATTATCAAATCAAATGTTAACCACACTAATTAAGGAAAAGCAATGTGGTTTAGTGGTTGGCAATTGATTACCATATTTGCAAGCAAATCCATTTAAATTCTGTTGTTTGCATTTCTCCCCACCAATTTGGGTAGCCAAATTCAGTAACAACAACATTACGGATTACTTGTGTTTAATTCGAGTTTGGTAACATAGAACCGCGAACCTAAGCTCGCTAGAGCAATGAGTTCCTCCCTCTGTACTCAAAGTTTGATTGGTTTTCGTCGACTGAAAGGACAACAGAAATTTCTCTTTAAATTTCTAATCCATGATCAAAATACGAGTTTTGCTCGCGTCCCGAATGAATTCAAGCACATATTCAAACAGAATAAAAATAACACTCCGAATGATAGAGAAACAATAAGCTTCATCACTCGTAAAATAACACTCCGAATGAAACTTCCTCGATGGATGAGTTATACAACCGCCATCCATTGGAACAAACCAAAGGATATCACTTGTACATTACACAATACACGCACCTAATATCTGGAGGCTGAATAACCCACAACACAAATCCTCTACCAGATGATAACATTATGCGACGGAAAACCCGAAAAAGAGAAGTGTAGAAGAACAAAAAATAATAACAAAAAGAACGCTTTACAACTCTCAAGCTGTTTTAAAATGATACAAACCTCAGAAAGAGGAAAAAATAAGAATAAAAATGTTAGGATTCTTAGTATTCTTTCTCGTCGCAGTCTAATCAAGCCAACGTGTAACCCCGTCTTCCCCTATGGTGGCCAGAATCTCGATGCTTACATCCAAAACAGCCTACAGTTTTGTATCAACCAGACATTCGAACGGTGAGAAGGATTAAATTGGCAACAATATTTACAGTTTATGAAATTCACAATTTAGCACTTCTAGGACTATATCGGCTGAGAATTACATCTGGGAAAGGAGAGGCAACTTTTTATAATATGTTTCCTGCTCAGCCGTTGATGTATAACCCTTAAAAATTATAAAGCAAGCACATAATCATTCAAATTAGTAGACTCGGCAGACCACGGATTTACACAGGAGAGTTTTTATCTTAAATTCTTCTCGGGGGTAGGGGGTATGTTCGTTCAAGGCAACTTAAATCACCTATGGTTATTGAACTACCATTGCACGGTCCACTAGAGTCAAATTTTCAGTTTAAAATACAAGAAGGCAGATGCAACTACATAAAGTAAAGGAACTTACCAAAGGATTTCTACAGTTAACCAGCCTACATTCCTCCAGAGTACCTTCCAACATCCAACTCTCCCAGACATCGAAACTGTGACTGGCAAATACAAATTCCATTTTTCTATTTATCTGCAATGTTAAGGTAGAACTTGATTTTAATCCCCAAGCACTTAAATAGTCAGATAGTCAGCTTTTGAGATCAATTTTTAATCTCGTCCAAATTTAGACTTCCAAGAGTGACAATTGATAAAGTAATATTACCTGCAATAACTTTCCACCAGCAGCAAAGGATCGCAAACCAATTGTGTCCTGTATAAGGTACCGATAATTTCATATCAGCTAACCAGATTATAATTAACACAGCAGCCAGCATAGATTGAATAATAGACTACAATTTAGGTCCAAGAGAAGAAATAAGTTCTTGCATACTAACCTTGCTTCTGATAACAATGAGAAACTGAGCTGCAGGATCTCTTTTTGTTACATTTGACATGGTATCTAGGAGCCAACCGCCACCTTTAACTCTTTGCCTTGAGACATGGAGGGCGGGACGATCTCTTGCATACAAAGCGACAACATACCCATCCTTCAACAGCTCACCAGGCTTTCCACTGAGCCTCTTAATAGATTTTTGAAGATGGTGGGAAGGCAATTCTTGCATTGATTCTATTTGAGTTTTCCTACTTCTTGAGTCCTCTGGGGAGGCAAACCGAGAACTGGAACTTAACGCTTGATCAGTTCCACTCATAGCTGTATCTTCTTCCCGCTGCGAGGTACTTTCTTTTTCTCGTGAAGGATCATCTGACTTTTGCCGGGATTTTTGGTGTGCGTGCCTCTTTTTGGCTTTCTTACCTGATCTGACTCGTCTTCCATCAGGTCGAGTGGCACTTTGAGATAAACCTGAACTTTGGTGCTGGCTAGGAGACTCCTTGGATTGAATAGCTTCTTTATTCTGAGAGCGTTCCGGGCTTGCATGAATGACTTCAGTTGGTTGCTCAATAACGGATAGCTGCAAGTTATTTTCTCTGTCCAGCTTATCCGACTCTTCATTTTCATCACCTAACTCACTTTCATTCTCCTCTTCAGAGACAGAATCTTTTGGAACAATCCCGTCAAAAAAGAATGTCTGCAATATGGAGATAGCTTTCTCCCTTATCTCCAACCATACTTCTTCACTATAATCTGCACTGTGTGGAAGTATCAACACGTTGGGCATCTCCTTCACCTGAAGTAAACCCATGATATCTTAGCATCAACCTGGTATATCAAATTTAAATGCTCCAGATGTGCATCATTCATATGTGGGTAGAAATAAAGAGAAAAATACTAAGAATATACAATCATCCATAAGCAGGTAAAATTTACATTCCCTTCTGCCTTTCATGCCTGTAAGTTATATTACCACATGTAAACAGGACCATAAACACCATGGGGTTTCATACCAAAGGTTATAGAGCCATGTGATAGTACAAAGATAATTAATGTTAACAATGCAGATGCATTTTTTTACTCCAAAGAGCACAATCTACATCCAATAATTCAGATATTAAGGATGTAAGACTGATAAGAAATGAAGAAAAAAAAATTGAATTAGGCAAGGGGGGAGTCAATGAGAAGATGGGTATAGTACAAGGCTAGAATGAAAACACATACTTTGCATATTAGTGAATACAGTTTGCCAAAAAAGAAAGAAAAAAATGATCTACACATCGTTTAAAGCTCCCAAGCTATTTATGAGCAAGTCCAAACCTATTAATACAGCAAGAAAGCAGGAGACAAGTCCTGAAATGAAGCAAAAAGGGGACTAGACTAACTGGGCATATTGCAAAGCATGCTGCAGCACTCAAGCACAAGTATTTGCCAGAAATTGACACAGTCACACAGCCTATGTTAACAAGTCGATAGCCCACAAAGAATTAGCATACCCATGCTTCCATCCATTGTGGCCCTTCAGCGCCATCTAAAGCACACCCAGCTAAGGTTCCGTCAATCAAAAGCTGTTTCACAGAACAATCGTCCAATAGTTGACAGCTCCCTGTGTTGACCAGAAATGCTCCTACACAACAACACTTATAAAATCATTCCATGCTAATATAAAATACAAGGAATCCCAAAATTTCCTTAAACAGGCACCAAGATGAAGATTAATGTACCAGGCTTTACATGCTGTAAGCATTCAGCATTTAGAATCTGAACTGTTTCATTTGTCAGAGCACAGTGCAATGAAATGAGGTCACTTGCAGCCAGTAAATCATTAAGTGTATCCATTCTTCTCGCAGCAGAAGGAAAGCTTACAGGAGAAATGCTCACTTTTCCGTTCACCTGAGATATTGTACCATGCAAAACGTTCATACAGCACACAATAAATAGAACCAGAAGAATCAAATATGAGACGCAAAAGGCAGTTCCAAACTAGAAAGTATGCAATGGCAATATTGAGTCAATTTCCATCAATAGAAGTGGCAAAAACAAGTTTATTTCCAAAAGAAGTTTCAAGTGCAAAGTATTTGAAGAAACTAAAAACAATAGTTTTCAGAATTCAAATAAGCATTAGGATACTTGTAAGCAGTACTTCGCAACTAAAACATCAACGTGTGCCTACCACCCCAATAGATAATTAGATATATAAAAAACTGAAAGTCCACAATTTCTCGACAAGTAATGCATTCTGCTTCAATAAAACCTACCCATATCCAATCCCAAAAGAAAATATTAACGAACCACAACTTAACTTCAAACATCAAAATGAATTGAATCTACTCTCTTTATTCCCGCTATCAGATTCATAATAAACTAGACTACATTTTAGGCTCCGAACATAGATTAGGACCGAAAACACAAACTTTACCACATTTCCATCATAACAAGCTACGGTAAACATAAAAAAAGTGCATTGTCTCAACAATATCAAAATGAACAATAAAAAGCACATTTAAAGGTCAAATCTTTCAGCTACTCAAATGCTAGAACTTAAAAATGAATTCACTAACTTCAAAATGATGCACATTTCGAGCTACTAAACATCAGATCTTTTAGTACAATTTAGCTGAATATGAGTTTCGGAGAACTAAATATGATCGAATCGGTACCTCTACGTCTTGAACATCGAAATAGAGAACGTTCATTTTGAAGGCCAAGCTCCTTGTAGCCAGAGACCTAGCCGACGCAGATCTGCCGATAATCCCCAAAACCAAGCCTCGACACCGTCTCATCCCACGGCACAGCGGCTGGATCGAGCCGAGCCATCCCGAAGCGGAGAGCGTGTGGCGGGAGAGCATATGCGTCCGGCGGAGCAACCCGAGGAAGAGCGCCATAACCGTATCGGCAATTTCCTCGGCACGGGATACGTCCACGTGGACAAGCCGGATCCCGAGGTCGGCGGCCAAGGCCGAATCGACTGCGCGGTCGGAGGAGCCCAGGCAGAGGATGAGCTGGTAGGGGCGGAGGCGGCGCTGGGCGGCCCGTGGGAGGTACGCGAGGGACTGGAGGAGCACGGCGGAGGCCGACTCGATCTTGCCTTCGGCGAGGCGACTAAGCGGCACGTGCTCGACAGCGGCGACGCCGGACAAGGAGTCCTGCTCCATGCCGAAGTCATCGATGCAATTGAGAGTGACGACCAAGGGGAGCGATGAGGGTGAAGCCGCAGGGCTGTTACGGCGGGGCATTGTTGCAGGGGATCTGTGACCGGTGCTTGCGCTCATGGTTTGTGGCGGCGATGGGTTAGGGTTTTACGCTTGTAATTTTGGGCATTTCTGGGGGTTAAGGTGAGCGAGAGCTCCCATTGATTTGCCGGAGAGTTGAGAGCTTCAAGTGTCCATGCTGATGAGATCCAGTGCGCGCCTCTAGGCTCTAGCTAGCTAGTCCTCTTCGGCTCTGCCGCTCTGTCAACTCACCACATTGCCCCTCTCATTTTACATAATTACCTTCATGTCCCCAGTTTTTGTTTTGTATTTTTTTGTTCCCTTTAATTAGGAAGAGGATCTAGCATCTTTGACGTACCACGGTCAGCAGCACCATAAAAATATACCCCTATGGCTTTGACTAATTTGGTTTACTTTTTCCTACATTTATTTTGTTTATCATCAGCTATTTTAAGAAGGAAAGTTGTTATTAACGCTCCACAATAATTATCCTGCACTCTCTTTGCGTGCCAAAAATCTTGTTAATAACATTTTTCTAAAATGAAAAAAACAACTAATATCGAGTGTGGATGTTTGGCGACTAACTGTAGCACAATTTCCCATTCGAATGATATGCATTTGACATGTCTCAAAATCTTTATCTACAACACTTGTGTACATCGGTTGTATACAACGCCTTGTGAAAGAGGCGTTTCATACATCGGTTGTATTCAGGAAGTCTCACGAATAACATATAACTCATGTACGACCAAAATCTAATAACAACATATGCGCATCCGCTACCTACATGGCAAGAAGAAACAATACAATTATTCATCAACCGCACGCACACTGCTCGCTCGCATCGAATTTTATTAAACTGAGTGTGAGACTGAGAGAGAAGAAAAAAACATCAAATGTCGATGCAAGTAATGCAACGGTACACTATCTACAAAAACAAACATCCACGATATGAACTTTCCCAACAGACTCCAAGGACTGCAAAATTTTCTACAAGATATGAAAAAAACATAGCCAAATACATACATTTTCCACGAAGGCAAAGTCGAACCTCATACAAGCTTGTGCTGGCCGCTGAACAAGTACTTGCTATTACCTACAGCTCCATCAGATCTTCAAAGCTTATTATATTTTCCTGCCTCGGAAGGCTGAGCCGGGTTATCCACATTGGCACCTGTGTCTATGTTTCATTGAAACAACATTTCAATGGTGTCCAACCAACCTTTGGAGTGAAATGAACAAGTTTGGCATCCTTTGTAAGCGCTTTTATCTGAACATAAAACTATTAAACAGAAAAACTGTACAAAACTTCCAACCCAACTTCAAAAACTCATGCTCAACAGATTTATGTTACCGATTTATGCCGTTTTCACTTCCTCACAATTTTTTATTATTTCGTTATTCCTTTTCCCTTGACTTCCCCATAAAAGTTTCCAATTATCCACTTCAGAAAAACCTCCTCCTGAAATTACTGGTAGTCGCTTGATACGAACGCATGAGCAATCCAACACCAATCCCTATCCCAAGGCACATCCCAAGGCCAATTCCAACACCAACTCTAACACCAGCATTAAACCATGTAAGTTGGCCGTCTTCACCGGTGTACATTTCATCAGAGTAGAAATGATGTCCGATTTTCCCTTCTGCCTCATACTCATCAATTTCAGAGTCTGTGATCTGCATACAGCCGCCAATCAAGGACTCCCAAGTCAGTTTAAACTACAGATGATAAATATGCTTCTTTCCTCCAGTACAGAAGTAATGGGGGTAATCCAACCCAAAATGATATTACAAACGGGAAGACTTAAGTATCAAATAAAAGCTTAGTAATCAAAATTTCAAAAGAAAAAAAAAAAAAACCAACGAAAAAAAAACATATATATACCTCAAGCCCCAGTGAGCTATATGTTTCGCGTCTATATGTGCACCAAAAAGTAAAAGCAAAGGAACCTAAATTGTTCGCTAGTATGTCACTGACCTTACAGAGCCCTTCATTTAGTTTGCTCAACTTAAAGCAACCCCTTCGGAAGAGTGAAAAAACTAAAGGGAAAAATAAACATTTCCATACTAACATAGCCCTCAACAACCAAATCCAGGGGGAAAAAACTTAAAGCAACCCCTTCTCCGTTCATTAGAAAACCACAAAATGGATTATTTTCTAAGTGCTATAAATTTTGTATGAGATATGAACCCACAGGTTTGACGAATACTGGATCAAAACTTGGGTGCAATAAATTAAAAACATGATCATAGCAACTACCTACCAAGTTTCAGTCCCCTGTCGGAAGAGTGGATTATACTATCATCCCACTTAACAGCAACATTCCCTCAATTAACATATATATGTTCAAATGAACAGTGGCTCGTGGAGCATTCTGAAGAGCCTCAAGATACTGTATTTCAATCAAAAGCGTAGTTTAAATGACTCGTACTGATGTTTCTACAATAGCCATTTATGCTAGAAGGCCACAGACTACTGTGCATCCATTGACATAAATTATTCCCACCTAAATAAATTCATCAGAAATCCAAATTCTCTACCACCGACACCACCAAAATTCTCACAAATTCACAAGCTAGCTACCAACAATTATCGATACCATATTCAATACAAACCAAATGAAGAACAAAACTTTCAACAACAAAATCAATGGCAACATTTCAATACCTGAACTTTCCGGCGAATCGTCCCATTACAGCCCTTGGTGTGCTCCTTCCCAACCTCCTCATCCTCCGGAATGGCATCGAGCGTTGCATGCCTCGGGCCCTTCCGCCTCGGACTAACCTGTATGGTTTTCGTCAATATCACGGGCACCCCGGAGCAACACCCGGCGATATATACCTCTATTGACGGTGCAGAGACGCCGAGTTTTGGCCGGAAAAAGGCGGAAGAACCCGAATTGATCGAGGCGGCCATGTAGCAATCCACACTCCACCCGGTTCTCGAATCGTTCTCCAATCCCCCCGCATTTCCATTGAGCCAAACACCCTCCATCCGCTCCAGCGACCCACACAGAACCATGTCATTGTTCTCGTACACCTCAAATTCAACCCCACCGGTGACCCTCACGCTATCGGTGCTGACGTACGTCACCTCCGACGACTCCTTATCGACCCGATCTCGGCGGAGCGTGAGCGAGGCCGAGTCCGACGCGGGAACCCGGGTCCCGTTGATTTCAAGCGATACCCCAATCTCGCGTCGGAGGTGGCGGAGCGTGAGGTGGTCGGGAACGCTCCCAATCACGCAGGGCGCAACCCGGACGTAAAACAACCGGATTTCGAACCAGGCGGAGTGGGCCAACGACGGCCCGTTTAGAATTTGGATCGAATTTTTGTCATGCTGCCCCATAAAACCCAAATTCACAATCGAAATTGAAGAACTGGAAGCGGAAAACTAGGGTTTTCGAAAAATCAAAATACACAGAAGCGACTTCTCCCCTTTTTTTCAATTAAATATTTTTTTACGGTGATTTATTTTTTCAGAGATTGGAAGACCAGAGCTCTCTGGTGATCCACGTTTCGGGTAGAGGCTGCGAACACGAAGAGGGTCGTTGCGGAAAACAGGGTTTTCTGAATAGGGAGGAAATTTACAAACAGAGCCAGGAGAGAGAGACAGTGTTTTTTTTTTGGGATTTTTGGGTGAGTGGGAAAAATGAAGGTAGGATTTGGACTTTTGTTGGTGTGAGGTGCCTGGTTGGAGATATTTTGTCTCGTCAGTTTAAAGATGGGTGCATGCAGACGGAGTCAACTGTGATCGACACGCGTCGTTTTGCGCTAGAAGACAAATGAACAACCTTTGTCGTTTATGTTTTTTTTCCTGAACTGAACCACCATGCGTAAATGGGTAATTGGGTATGGTTATGGGAAAATAATTCTCTTATTCGCAAGTTAATGTTGCGGTTTTAATTGTATTGGCAGACGATTGTGACAAATAGTTTTCTTATTCGAGGGAGAAATCAGTGTCGATCGATGGTTACAAACTGACTCAAACCAAAACTACGCATTAAGTCCAAGTGATGACGGTGGTGTTGGATACTCTTTGGTTTGGCTTTGGTACCCAGCCACAATTCCTTATCTCGTTTACGATGAACTTAACCATACTTAAAAGTGGTGGTAATCACTGTTTAATTTAAGTGGACATATCCAATCCGATCCGATCCAACCTACCAAACAGTCTTGAGGTACCTTTTACCCCTTCAGCCTGGCCCATTGGACTATGTTTGTATGAATTCATGTAGAACGAAGCCCACATGTGGCCTAACCATGCTACCAATGAGTTTTTCTTCCTTGCCAACCTATATGCCCACTCCACATCCATTCATAAATCAAGGTAAGTGTATGTTGCACACAGCATTTAACAAATGGATAGCGATTCCTTTTTTTTACTTTGTGAACACATCCTGTTAATCCTGATCGTTGATTTTATTTTAATTCTTCAATTTAATGGCTACGAAACAAGAAAAATGTGTATGAGGTGAGAAATGGTGTGTTTAAAACGCTACCCTTAATAAATAAGGAATCAAAGAATTGAAGGAAGAGCCCATGAAAGCGGAACTAAACAAGGAATAGCCCAACAAATAAAAACAGTGGGCAAACTCCGAGAAGGAAGAGCCCATTTATTTCAAGTACATTTTTTCTCATCACCCTTTTAGTTATCGTTAAATTACTATAAAGTTTAAAATTAGTGTAGTAGATAGATCGAATTAAACTCATTTAACAGTAATCAATAAGGTGGTAAGTATCACCATCACTTTTCATTTATGGTTTACTTATTTATTTCTCTTATTTCCTTATATGGTACCATTTTGTATTTTAGCTTTCAATTTTTCACTTGAGATAAAAGAAAATTACATGGAAGACAACAAAGTTCGCTCACAACAAAGTTATTCACAAAAATGGTTCATTTCACATCAACTGACTGTTGAACTCACAACAAAATCAAACGTGAGATTTGCTTTCAATCAAATACCACTCAATGAAAGTTAGTTTTTTTCTTTATCCAAGCGATAATGGAAAAAAAATAAAAGAAATTAAATCAAACTCCAAACTTCTAATGCAGCAGTAAATACTTTTAATCTTAGCTACAAACTTTTTAGGGATCAAAAGTAGATAAGTGGAGGAATTTAATTAAATCCCATCTCATATATTTGTGAAAATATTTGGAGCCTTGCAAAGTTATCCGATCGTGGACCTCATCTTTCGTTCCACGTACGTAGCCATGCAAAGGAGGCGGGCGGCTGCTCAACCTAGTCTACAATTTTCAAACTTACATGATGGATTAGAAAGCAAAAGATTCGTACTATCAATGTCACCTAATCAAAACTCGCAGAAAAGATGAAAATACCGAAATGATAGCACACAAAGAATGAGTGAAGTCGCATCCATGGCTCTTAATGTTTGCAATAATTTTCCCTTTAAATTTGTGACCACAAATGGCCTTCGAATTATATATGATTACGGCTACCGAATCTAGCTACCTATTGTGCCCTCTTAAATAGGTCTAACAATTTTTTGCACTACTTGTTAATTTGACACGAAACAAAATCAAAATAACAGGTTTCGAGTTAACATGTTAATGAGTCGGGTAATTATTGAGTTACCTATTAAGAACTCGAAAATATATCGTTTACCAGATCTATGTATTAGGTATGGTAATTTCTTGCTTGACCCGTTAACTTGACATGAAACGACACGATCCATTAACGAATCAGGTCGTTATTAAGTCATCCAATAAGATATCGTTTGCCAGATCTAGATATTAGGCATGGTAATGTCTTGCATGACCCATTAACTCTATACGAAACGATACAACTCGTTGACGAATCATGTTGTTATCAGTCACATATTAAAGAATCCGTTATGATAACGAATTTGACACAACACGATGTGTTAAAATAACTGGTAGACATGAACACGACAAACATGACCTGCCAGGCCTCTCCTTAAGGCAATTCCTTGATGTAAGCAATAGATTAGATTGAACCTAATACTTCACTCTCATTTTGATTCAGGCCTTAACCAACATGTATGCAAACATTAAGTTCGTGACTCGAACTCGTGATTCTGGTGAATAAGAATATTCACGCATGATTTATGCATTTGAGGTCATGTGTTTAATTAATATTTTTTTTTCAATGTGTGTTTGATTATCATTTCTCCTCATATCATGAACAATACTTGGCTACTGAAAATTCAACAGCAATTCCTGTTTTTATCCAATTAGATTTGAACTCGTGTTCAAATCTTATTGGGTGAAAGAAGGAATGGCAGCTGAATTTTCAGCAGCAGCCAAGTTTTGTTCTCATATCATATGTATATAATTAATTGAGAAATATTTCGGACAAGTGCGGTTATTAGAAATAACACCGTCACTACAAAATCCTTCCATTATACATGCAAGCAACATACAACCTCACACATTGATAAAAATAAATAAAGACATACAGTCTCACACTGGACTCTGATTTTGAGTCAATACAGCATAAGGAATATTATTTGCACTCCTACAACTTGAGTGACACATCTGTCCTCTTTTGTAAAAAATATAAATAACATGCATAGAGAAAGGTAAGCGATTTCACTCACATTTACTATGTATAGACTTAATTATTGTGTTTTTTCCGATCATCCTCTCTTTTATTTAATCTTAAAGTTAAAAGAATAGTTTTTTTTTTTTAATTTTTTATATATAAATAAAAGAGGACTACGTAGTGGTTTCGTCACTGTAATCATCCTTTTGGGGACCGGAAGGATTTACAGAGTCATTTCAGTATGCTCTTGGCTACCATCATGTGATTCACCAGCGTTATAAATTGAACCCAGTACATGTTGTATGGAAGACAGACTTGAAATTTGTCCCCAATGATTGATCACCCCGTAATGATCGTTAAGCGTAAAGAATAGTTGGAAGGACACGAGAAGAAAAAGAAATAACAATCTAACAAATGTACATGTTAAAACAACCCCGTAAGTGACCCTTTACCATGGTGGTGGAAAGGTGTTGAGCTTTTGCATGACGGCATTCAAATCCCGTCAATGACTAATCTGATATCTAATCTAACAAAATTTATTGTTTGACAAAAAAAAAAATAATAAAGACAATCCTATCCACAAATTAATGTTTAAAAGTAAAATTATAATATGTAAACTGCCATAATTTAGCCAATATCTATTTCCTTCTTATGATTTTTCTTTAGGTGATGCTAGAGAGATCATTTTTAAACTATATTTTGTAGACCATATGATATGATAATTAATGATTGAATTCATTTTTAAAATCTTTAAAAAAACAAAGTTCAACCATCAATTGCCAAATCACGTAATTCACAAAATATAGTCTAAAAATGATCTTCTTTAACATTTTTCTTCTTATTTTCATCTTTTTACCTGCCAATATAAGTAGTCATTCAGTAATAATGAGATTATTTGGTCCAACGTCTAGCCACCCCAACCAACGATTTTTATTCGGTGCATTTTTTTGGCTTTCATGCCAATGTTACTGTTCCTAATTAAAACAAATAAGAAAAAAGCGTGAAACCGGTCATCAAGTTAATAATGCATGTGGATCATTACTTACCAATATTTTCGTCCAAAAAATTCAACTCAATCATCAATTAATCCTCAAAAATAGGAATTATTTTCCACATTTAAATGAACAATACTCAAATCAAATCTCAATATGATGGAGCCATGTAACCGTAGACAACAAGTGGGTACATAGATGAATATATAGTTACACATCAGTTTATTCTACAATTAATTCATATTATATTCTCTAAGTTAACTTTACTATTGATGAGCGTTAACACACACCCATCAAAGGTTGATTTCCCTGTTTTGATCGTTAACAGAACTGCCTGGCCCTTTTGGTCCAATATGTTGACGGATTTAGTTCTCCTCTGCTTCATCAGCGAAGAGGATGACATATTCGAGCGATTCCACAAGGCTGTTTTCGTCTTTTTGACGAATCGCCCATTTTGATCTGCCTTTTTTAAGGAGTGATGATAGACCCACCCCATTATCCTATTTTTACACCCACCATAAAAATTAAGAAAAATTAAAATATTATTTCTTCACCCACCATTATTCCTAAAATAACCTCTAATGTCTAATTTTTTAAACAATAATATTAACACGATTTTTTTTAAGAAAAAAAAAACTTCATGCTTCCTTAATTGCCACTACCCTAGCCGCACTAGAAACTCCTCCCACCCCCATCAAAAACCAAAACCTTTGACACCTGCTTGGCGGCATCTCCTTTGGAAAGAGAGAGAAACCAAGGGGAAAGGAAAGACAAAAGCATAGGGGGAGTTTTCCAATACAAAAGCAAATCTGCTCCAAATCGATTTATTCCAACTGGAATTGGGTATTCTTTGATTTTAAAATCTGGGTTGTTGTCGTTGTTGATTTATGAGGAAAAGGAGGAGAGGATGGAGGTGGTAGTACCATAATTGAAAGGGAGAGTGGGGTGGTGTTTGTTGCTGGCGACGGTAATGGATGATTGGGGATTTGATAGTCATGTTGGAAAATAGTTATTTATTTAGTGTTTAGATTTGGGCTTAGCCCATTAGAATTAGGTTTTCGTTTCCTTACTTATTAGAGAACAGGGTTATTTTATTATAAATAGAGAACTTTGTTATTAAGAGATAATAAGTTAGTCAC